CCCCATGCCACCCCCTGAGGCTGCGCCCACCCCCATGCCACCCCCTGAGGCTGCGCAGACCCCCCTGTGCACAGGTCTTCACTGTTGTCATTGTTGGATGTTCTCGCACGAGGGACTGCGTGGCCTGTCCCCAGTGTGTCGCTTAAGATGTTCTTGACTATATGAAGATTTGCTTAAATGAACAAAGATAAAAACCTGCTGGGTGGTCGTGCCGTATTAATCCCAGCACTCAAAGAGGCAGAGACAGTTGGATTTCTGTGAGATCGAGGCTATCCTGCTCTATAGAGTGAGTTCCAGGACAGCCAAGGCTACACAGAGAAACCCTGTCTCGAAAAACAAAGCAAAGCGAAACAAACAAACAAGATGAGAAAAGCGTACCACCCCAGTGTGTGTGGATACCCACGATTGTTGACGCTTCTCTTTCCTAGAGGTTTTGACTGCTTCTTCTTGTATTAAAATCTATTTGATCAATCTGCTATCAGCACCAATCCTCAATCCTCCCTTCCTTTTTCCCCACCTTCCTCCTCTCCCTTCTCTTTTTCCTGTTTTTGTTTTGTTTTGTTTGGGGTGGGGGGGACTTGAACTTAGCCAGGATGGCCTTGAACTCTTAACCCTTCTTCTGAGTGAAGAGTTACAAGTGTGTGGCAGTGTGCCTGGTTTGTGTCGTGCTGGGAACTGAACTTTGTACACGCTAGGCAAGTGCTCTCCTAAGCGAGCTACACCGCTGGCCCTAGAGTTTATCATAGTTCTTTAACCCTCTTAGCCAGCTGTTTGCAAAGTGGACCTAGAAAACTCATGGTTGTACTGATGAACTTTATTCCTTTGTTATAATACAGTCGATTCTGCTTCTGTTGTTGTTGCTGCGGCTGTTGTTGTGTGTTATGTTGAGGCAGGGTCTTGCTAAGCAGCTGTGCTGGCTCGTTTGGTGTCAACTTGACACAGGCTGGAGTCATTGGAAAAGGTGGGTGCCTTCGCTGAAAAAAATGCTTCAGTGAGATGGGGCTGTTGGCAAGTCTCTAGGGCATTTTCTTAATGAGTGATGGGTGGGGAAGGGTCCAGCCCATTGTATTTTGATGCTACCCCTGGACTGGTGGTCCTGGATTCTCTAAGAATACAGACTGAGTAAACCATGAGAAGCAAGCCAGTAAACAGCACGCCTTCCATGGCCTCTGTATCAGCTCCTGTCTTCAGGTTCCTGCCCTGTTTGAGTTCCTGTCCTGGCTTCCTTCAGTGATGAACTGCAATGTGGCAGTGTAAGCCGAACAGACTCTCTCCTCCCCAACTTGCTGTTGGCCATGGTGCTTCATTCCAGCAATAGTAACTCTGACTGTGACAATGTCCACACTGACTTTGAACCTGGGATCCTTCCATCTCAGTCTCCAGTGTGCTGGGGTCACAGGCATGTGCCACCACACCTTTGTTCGATTTAAAAGTAGTGATGTAATTCACTCTGTAACTGAAGCCTCATGTCTGGATGGTCAGAGGATGTTTGTTGATCGGACCACTCTCGGGCCACACCCCATGCTGGGAGACGTGGTGCTCATGAGAGGGAGCATGGAGCGCTGGCTTTTAGAACATACCAGATGCAGGTAGGACCTGCCAAGTACCAGAAGAAATTCAGCACAGGGGAAGTCTGGGGACCTGGGGAGTGATAGGGGAGGGAAGGAGATGATCCCTTCCTTCTGGGAAAGGTGGCATTTGAGTCCTGCTGGGAGGGAGATAGCACTGGACAGTGAGGACAAGAGAGGACATTGCAGCCAGGGGACAGATTGAGGACGAGCCACTAAATTGGAAAAGCAGAGTTCAGGAGGCTGAATGGAGAGAGATGAAAAGTGGCCGATAAGATACGTGGGGTGGGGCCAGTCATCTCCTGCACAAATTCGCAATTTGGTATTCCTTAGCAACCTGTTCCTAGGTAAGCCTGGTAGGACTGCGAAGGAGGGCTTGGGGCAACCAGGGCCTAGAAGCCTGTGACAGGGAGCGAGAGATGCAGTGCCTCTGTAAGGAGAAGGGACACCGAGGCATGGGGTGACTGGGATATGGGTGTCGGCGGAGACTCTTTGGCCTAGCGTGGCCGTGTGGTGTGGAGCAGAGGTGCATTGGGGACCATTCCCAGGTGAAGCAGCTGGTTAGTAGAGGGAACAGGGACGAGGATGGTTGTAGAGCCAAGGTAGCAAGATTTTGTTCTTGGCCATGCAGGACGGAAGGGTGAGCCCCTACAGAACTCCGTGTTCTAACACGGGTACTTCCTGTCTGTTCACAGTGGAAACCCAGGTGTGATTGCTCCCAGGGATTCATCACAGGCAAAGGCTGGTTCATTGCTGGCATCCACAGGCCTCACTCTCAGCAGGGCTTTGCGGTATTTAAAAGTTGATCCGTTAAGGTTAATCCTTACAGGCCACGGCAGATTTCAGTGTGCCTTGGGCTGATGCCAGGCCCATGACAAATGCTGACTCACTTGATACTAAAGCAATGGTTACTCAAAAAAAAAAAAATCATTTTGGAAATGGCAGCCGTTAATAAAGCTCTTCTTTGGCCACGGGGGTTTCTTTTTTGGTTGTTGTTTCTGTTTTTATGCCAGCATCATGCCGCGCTTTTGCAGTGTTGTGCAAGCGAGTTCCAAGCTCACTTGAACGTTTCGTGTGCCGAGGGCCTAAGGAGATGGATGACTCAGCAGGTAAAGATGTCTACTGCCAGCCGAGCCTGAGGACCGACTTTATTTATCCCCAGGACTTACATGGTAGAAGGGGAGAAGCGGCTCCCTTACGTTGCCCTCTGACCTTCACACATGCCACGGCACCCACATGCCTACACACAGTAATTAAAGTTTTATGTTCTGGTATTACTATCTGGTCACCCACCTTTCAAATTATCTTTTGTTTGGGAGATAGGGGATCTCACTATGTAGTCTTGGATGCCCTGGAACTCACGGAGATCCACCTGCCTCTGCCTCCTGAGTACTGGGATTAAAGGTGGTGCTGGCAAGCCCAGATATATTCCAGATTGTCTTTTTAAATGGTGCATATGTTTTATCTCCCTGTTCAAGGTAACTATACTGAAATGTTAAATTCCCTTCGCTGGGGTTGAATATGAATAGAGTTTCTCCCGTCCTTTCTCCTGCCTCCCATCCGTTTCTGTGATGTAGACATGGGACCTGCTGACACAGTGTGACAGAGGTTGTGTTGATTGGGTGGGGGCGCGGGTGGGCTGAGCCCAGGAGGGAGGAAGTGTATCTCAAGCTTATTTCCCACATGGGAAGGCAACTTGGGGTCGAGGGCTCGCATCTGTGCTTCCAGGCTGGAGGTTTGCTATTTTCACTTAACTCAGATGTGAGTTGCCCTTGAAGCATCCCTGCTTGTTCACGGCAGACTCCGAGTGTGTCCAGAGGTTTTGATTCCCTAAGATTCACTCCGTGATGACAATTCAAGACAGCATTTCTGGCTTCTTTTGGCAAGGAGAGCAAGGGTCTGGCTCCCTGGCTTCTGCCCTTCCTTTTCCTGGCTCTCTGCTTTCTCCTTTTTCCAGAAGACGGGTACACATACACACTTTCCCGGACACTGATAACCATACTGTACTCACGCATGCACCCTCTCTCACACTCCGTGGCACACAGCCCTCCTCTGCGCTCTACCGTCTAACCCTGCATCCTCATTTCTTCGCTCACCGCCTTCAGCGTTTGCTCATGCCTTCCCTGCAGACAGAAACCTCTGGATCTGCCTTCCTCTCATTCCCGTGTTGGGAGCATGCCGGCTGGGCCCCCACACTGCCTCGAGTGGGCTGACAGCAGTGTCGTTGAGAAGTGGGTTGTGCCCTTTTGTTTCAGGCCCTGGAGTGAGCGATTCTCTCACTGATTGGTGGTTCAGAGATAGGTTTACGTTTCACTAGTGGTGACAACTTCCCACATCTTAGTAATCGAAGGTTCTTGTGGAACCGTACAGATCCAGGTCTTCCGTTAGCTGGGTGCTCACTTCTGAAGCAAAATGAATGAGTGAGGAAGGCCACCATACCCTGCTGGCCAGGCTGTCCATGAAGGGAAATTATTCCCAGCGCCCTTCCCAACACACTTGTCTTCTTTACTTGGATTAGAAAGGGCGTTGACTGTCTTCTGTGCTTTTCCTTTTTAGATTCAAAATATGAACAACATCATCTCCTTCCCTCTGGACAGTCTGCTGAAAGGAGACCTGAAAGGCGTGAAAGGGGTATGATCGAGTCTCAGAGTTTGCACATCATGGGGGTCACAGTGGCTATGGCTGTCACCCTGCCCACTGCATGTGACCACAGGGATAGCGTTCACTTTTTTCCTTTCATTTGGCATTTTGATTCCACGTGATGCAGCGCCGCCATGCCGCTTGGCCTGTGAGTTCTTCTCTTGCTGGCGCTGCAAGCTTGGTAAAGGGAGAACACAGAGGGAAACAAACCAGTTGGAGACTCGCACACCAGAGGGTTTCCGCAGCGCCGCAGGAGCGCGGAGAGGCGCGGGAATCTGATTTTTGTGCTGTCGTGTTCCTGCTCTACCCCTAGAAAGGACCCTAGCCTGTCTGAACCATCTTGGGGACCTCTGCCTAGACCCCAAGATACTGCCTGCTGTATCCGTACCAAAGCAGGCAGGGAGAGAGCTGTTAGGACAGCAAGGGATGTGGTGCGTTTTCCCTGGTCAGGCCCGGAAATCAGGCCTGCTGATTTACCAGGAAATAAACCAACAAAAAGCAAGGGGTAGGAGGTTGCCATCTGCAGAGAAAAGACATGTCCCATAGTGGAAGAATGGATCCACGCCCTGGGCCAGACTGTCAGGATCGGGAGGGCAATTTCACAGAGACCTTCCATGGCCCCTGGAGACACAAAGTTTAAACACAGAAAACAGTCTTGTTGAAGGGATACAGAACTGTGTGGGAACCTTTTGACAGATGTGAAGGCCAAGCCCCGTTAGAGACCGTGAACCCCAGCTCTGAACCTTGAGTGCAGAAGGGAAGCCCAGGGATACAGGGTGCACTGGGATGGGGGTGGAAGTGAACACGGGCGGTGTGCATGCTGTTTGACCTGCTGTTTGTGTGTGGTGTTGTATGTTGTATAATGCATGTCTTAGAATGGGAAAGAATGGAAAGGAAGAAAGGCTGGCCGGCCCATCCCTAGTCTCAAGGGTAGGATCCCACGCATGACTTCTTCCAGAGGCTAGCGCCTGTACGAACCAGTCTAGGGATTCGGATGTCTGTCTTACACAGAAGTTAATGATTACTTAAACTTACTCGCTGCCCCTCTGTTTTCAGGATCTGAAAAAGCCCTTTGATAAAGCTTGGAAGGACTATGAAACCAAAATGTGAGTGTTTTTTATTGTTTTAAGTTATGTCGGCAATTTGAGATTTCAGTTTTAAATCAGGATTTAGTTGCTGGAAGGGACTGTCTGAATAAACCGAATCCAGGAAAGGATTTTCCTCGAGCTGTGTCACGGGGCTCATGGTGACAGGTGTGTCTGTGGTCTGTGCTCAGAGAGGGTGGCCTCGTCCAGCAAGCTCTGCCGTGTCGGTTTCACATAGGTCTTCCTGGAGGTTCATTAAATAAACAAACAGACCCCTGGAGCTGGTGGGGTGGGGGGGGGATGGCTCACGGGATAAACCACTGACTGCAAACGTGAAGACCTGAGTTTGAGTCCCCAGAACTCGTGTGAAAAGCCAGCTGTGGTGGTGGCTGTGATCGCACTGTCCTGGGGTAAGGTGGGAAGTGGAGACGGCCAGAGTGCCTGGAAGTTTGTCTACCAGGTCGCCCCAGGGGCAAACGAGAGACGCGGTCTCACATAAAGCAAAAGACAGCGACTGACCCCTGAGGTTGCCCTCTGAGCGTGTTCCCACCAGGACACGCGCACAGACTCAGGCAGGCGCACCCCCACACACAAGGGTGTCTTTTTGTTCTTTCGTTTGTTTTTTAAGTGCGCTCTTAGCTCTGGGTCTCTGTTTATCTGAAATATCAGATCTCTTGTTTTTAGGACTGCCAGCCCGAGGGCTTCAGTTTTACTTGCTTTCTTTGTTGCTAGGGAGGGAGGTAGTGCTTGGGGCTCAGTGACGCTGAGACCTCTACCATGGTCTCCCTCTGCTGAAGGTCAGTTGAGGTGCCTGAATTCTCGAGACAACGTCCCTGGCGAGTGACCTCCCGGTCCTTCACATTCTTGTCACCTTCAGAGTACCAGGTTGACCTCCCAGTCCTTCACATTCTTGTTGCCTTCAGAGTATCAGGTTGACCTCATGTGCCAGACAGAAGAGCAAAGGGCTGGCATTCGTGCATCTTCCACACGTACACAGACAGACACACACACACACACTGCCTCCTGTGACGGGGAACCCTCAAGTAGCCTATATAATCATCAAACAGCTTTTAAGGAAAATGCCAGCTGTGACTCTGTGTGTGACCTGAGGCTGGGCAGGGAGTGCCTCCAAGGCCTTTAGGTCCAGTGCTTTCTGTGGCCCATGTGACTCTGTGACTGTTTCCCTTGGTGTTGGATGTTTCTGGGTGTGTGCCCAGCTGGTCAGTTTATACCTGAACTGTACACGTGACATTTAAGTCATGAAGCTTAGCATGAAGTCACTGTGGGAAGGGACATGAAGGAAGAGAATGGTTGAACAGCGTGATGTTGTCGTGAGGAGCACTCTGGAAACCAGAACTGCGTGTGACTTTGCTAACTGCGACACAGAGGTTGCTAGTGAGGGTCTCTAGCGAGAGGCTGGCTATCAAGGGCAAGGCGTGTGTGGGTCTTCCACCTCCTCGGACACAGATCGGACCCAACAGGTGCTTAGGCAGTATCTGTTGAGTGAGCAGCGGGAAGGCCAAGTCCAACATGTTTTCATGACAATGCACAGCTTGCTTTCTGTGAGAGTTAAGAGGTCGCCTGCTTTGAAGAGCGCCACGCGGGCGAGCGTTCGTCTCTGCAGATGATTCTGAGGCTGGCCGGTGGGGAGTGTGGGGCCCAGTGGCCTCCTGACTCACCTTCACGTTTCCTTCACACACAGAACCAAAATAGAGAAGGAGAAGAAGGAGCACGCCAAGCTCCACGGGATGATCCGCACTGAGATCAGCGGGGCCGAAATTGCGGAGGAAATGGAGAAGGAACGGCGCCTCTTCCAGCTACAGATGTGTGAGGTAAGGGGCCGGGCAGGGGAAGGTGGTACAGGCTGGGCCGCGGGCGCACACCTCCTCTCCAGCGTGGCCGTCCCCACCAGACAACCGGGCTACGTTTCTGGGCTGAAGGTTTGTTTCTGTAGAGGGAATCTTAGGCTACTTCCTGGTGTGTGGGTTTAGGTCCGTCTAAAGCCAACCTTCACTCAAGGAAGAGAGAGGGACTGGCAGAGACCTGACTCAGAGATCAAGAGCACTTGCTGCTCAATCACGAGGACCGGAGTTTGGATCCCTGCACCCAGACCAGGCTGCCCACAGCTCCTGTAATTCCAGATCCGAGGGCTCTGGTACCCTCTTCTGGCCTTCAGATAGACCTGCACCCACATGCCCAGGAACACACACAGGAATCTAAGAGCGTCCTCTCTGCCCTCCATACTTTCTCACCGGAGTTGGCTAGAATATTTACCTCTTCCATCCCTTTAGGAGTTCTTATTATACCTGTGCAGTCGGCAGAAGGGAGGTGTGAAGAGCTAGCAGAAGACACTCATGGCTCCCACAGCATCCTTGCTATCCAGTTCCCACACATCGCCCGCCCTAGGGGTCTTGCTTTCTATGGTCTTTGCCTGTGTCTTGGAGAAGGGCAAAGGGGGAACTGACACCAGGAGCCTTTGTCTAGATCAGAGTCCAAGAAGCATGAAGGCCTTTGTGTGTGTGTGTGGAAATGGCCCCGTCTCTCCCCTAGAGTCTGCATTAGCGTAATCCCCAGCCCAGTGGTACTTGTTATACCCTCTTAAACAGGGCACTATTAAAAAAAAAAAGGAAAGCCTTTGCAGACCTTCCTTCCTAATCGTATGCTTTATGGATTGCTTTTTCTAATAAGTTCCGGTAAGTAGAACTTCCAGGTCAAAGAGCGTACACATTGTAAGTCTTGTTACGTTGCCAAACATTTTATTAATGATTGTATCATTTTGGTCCATTGCCAGATATCCAATTAAGAGTGAATAACTATCAAAAAGGAAGGAGAAAGGACACATAGGCAGTTCTTACAGAGAGAAGAAAATTTGTTGTTATGGTTTCAGAGCGGCTTCCTGTCCCCTCACTGGCTTGCACAGCTGGCCTAGGAGGGTTCCTGAACTTGGGCTCATCCTGAGACAGCTGGGAACTCACGGGGCTTACCTCAGGTTAGCAGGTTTTCCTGGGCCATCCTGTCTTGAAGAGGAGATGTGTTCAGGATTCTTTTTTTAAAAAAATATTTTATGTGCATTGGTGTTTTGTTTTGTTTTGTTTTTGTTGTTGTTTTGTTTTTGGGTTTTGACTTTTTTGTTTGTTTGTTTGTTTTCCGAGACGGGGTTTCTCTGTAGCTTTGGAGCCTGTCCTGGAAGTAGCTCTGTAGACCAGGCTGGCCTCAAACTCACAGAGATCCACCTACCTCTGCCTCCTGAGTGCTGGGATTAAAGGTGTGCGCCACTACCACCCGATATGCATTGGTGTTTTGCCTGCATGTTTGTCTGTGTGAAGGTGTCAGATTTTGAAGTTACAGACAGTCGTGAGCTGCCGTGTGGGTGCTTGGAATTGAACCTGGGTCCTCTGAGAGAACAGTCAGTGTTCTTAACTGCTGAGCCATCTCTCCATCCACCACCTCACAGTGAGGGGAAGGGGGTTTATAGAGTCCTTGTTTTGGACACTTTTAGGAAGGGACAAATGAATTTTATAATGCCTGGGCTTCCTGCTCAGCAGTCCTTAATGGATTCTCTGGGTTAGAAGTGGCTTAGATACAGTTCATTTAAAATTCACCTTTTTAGTGCTCACATTTAGAGGAAGTGCTTTGAATCAGCAACAAAATCTCAACTACTGGATGCTAACAGTGTTGAAGACAAAGATCTGGTAAAGAAAGGGACTTGAAACTGGGTGTGGTGGCAAAGTGCCATTGATCAGTTCGAGGACAGAGGAAAAGGGCCCTGGGTAGAAGAAAATACATAGTCAGAGCCAAGGCAGTTAGAAACTCCCATTCATTCCAGGTATTCTCCTCCCATGCATCGAGAGTAAGCTCGTACTGCCTGGATATATGGCAGACTATCTAGTTAGTAGGATGTGTGGTCGTTAAAAGTTGCGTTACCTGACCAGCATAACCATTTAGTCACGTTTGTAGACAGCACCTGGTGTCCAGCACAAGCTCTGCCCGGACTACAAGCTGTTATAGATGTCCAGAAAGTCAGTCTTGAACAAGGGGTGTGGCTCAGTTGGTAGGGTGCACACCTAGTGTGCACAAGCCCCTGGGGTCAGGCTCCAGCCCTGCCTAAGCCAGGTGTGGTGTTACATACCCGTATCCCAGCACTTAGGAGGGGGAAGCAAGGGGACCAGAAATTCAAGGTACTCCTTGACTGTCCAGCGAGTTTAAGGCTAGCCTAGGCTACAGGAGACCCTGTTTCAAAAGAGCCCCTGATGTCATCAGATGCTCCCAGCTGCTGACTTCTGCCACATCCTTCCCTTTTTTCTCAACAGTATCTGCTGAAGGTCAATGAAATCAAGGTTAAAAAAGGAGTGGATTTGCTGCAGAATCTGATCAAGTACTTCCATGCCCAGTGCAAGTAAGTGTCTCTTTCTCATGGTATTCCTGAATGCTTACCGTGGGTGGCAGCTTTCAGTGGGTAGCTTTGTGTTGACGGAACAAACACTTGTGTCTGTGTGTGTGCATGCGTGTGTGTGTATGAACGAACATAGCTCAGTGGTAACTCACTCTTGGCCTGGTATGTGTGAGGGCCCAGGTTTAATCCCCAGAACTGGGGCGTCTGGGGGAGAGAAATAAAGAAATTATCGTGAGATGGGGCTGCAGGTGAGTTTGTAGAGTGTTTGCCTAGCACGCAGAGACTCTTGGGTTTGTAATTCCCAACACTATGTAAACCAATGTGGTGGCATAATCCTGGTCTGCCTAGGAGGTAGAGGCAGAAGGAGCGGAAGTTTAAGGTCATCCTTGGCTATATAGAGACCAGTCTGGGCTACATGGGATTCTGTGAATGAATGAATGAATGAATGAATGAATGATCGATCATGGGGGAAAAAAAAAGAAGTGCTCAGAATACAACACAGATGAACCTTAACTATGTAGAGGGAAGGAAGGCAGAGACACAAGATCACATTGTATGACTGTGTTTGACAAGCCAGGAGAAAAAGCACATTTATAGACAAAAAGCAGCGTAAGCAGTTCCCATAGAAAATGAAGGTGTGGGGCCTGACTGCTTGGGAGTCAGTACTCTCTTGGAGGTAACAACACGTTCTGACCGGTGCAGACACTGGCAGTATTCTGACATCAAGTGTACACTTCCAAAGAGCGATCTTAGGGCTTGAGGATTGTGTCTCAATAAAAAATGGAAGTAGGGAGGCAGTATTTAAAAATTGGCAACAGTTGTCAAATACCTTTTATTTTCCTTTTTTAGAGGGGCCGATTTGTTTGGTCTGACACAGGATCTCAGATTTTGTTGGTTTTGAGAGAGGGGGGAAATATGGAGTTGATTTGATGTGTTCCATTAAGCCAGTACTTGCATACATTACTGGTCTTAGAAAGTCAATGGGGATGAAAGAGAATATTCATGTTCTGGGCACTTAGCTTTGCTATGGATGTTTCCAGTCCAGACCCCTGACCCCTGGTGTCAGTGCACACCCATGAGCTTTTCACAAGCCATGGCTTCTTCCCTCACTCACCCGGTAGACTTTGATGGAGTTCTTGTTTATGTAAGGCTCTATGCAAGGTGCTGAGATAAAAGGATGTGCTTGGAGAGATGGATCAGGGATTGGATGTTTGCCTCAGCGTTCTGAAGACTGGAGCGATGGCTTGATGGCTAAGAGCGCTGTCTGCTCTTCCGGAGGACTTAGGTTCGATTCCTAGAACCACGACCGCCCGTAACTCTAGTTCCAGAGGATCAGACTCCTCTTCTGACCTCCGAAGGCTTCTGCAGACACCTGGTGCACATACATACACTCAGGTGCACATACATACACATAAAGTTAAACAAATACATTATTTAAAAAGAGTAGCCCCAGACAGTGGACTGCCATAGAGTAGTCTGGGGTGACATTAGCATGGATGAAATGATCCCCGCTGGAGGGGAAAGTGTGAAGCCCTTTGAGAAATCCCTCGGAGGTCCAGTTGCCACACCTGTCTGCTGCTCCCCGAATGGGCCTGGCCTGGGGATGGCGTCACTGCCTACACTTTGTCCCCTTCCCTGGAAGGTCCTCTGGCTTCCCCTGTGCGCAGACACACCGTCTGGTTCAGGAGCATCAGCCCTGATAGGATCTCATCTCCTTGCCTCTGCAACATCTTCATTCATTTCCGTGTCTGGGGATGCCGTGTGGACCAGCTACGCATGTGCAGCGGGGGCTCTAGGGCTCGCCCTGAGGCTGCTTAGCTGTTGATCTCAGGGTGGCTGTGGTGACTCTATTAGCTTGTGATCAGGTGGGACATCAGCTGGGAAAGACTTGTCCAGAGTTAGAGGACCTGGAATTTCTAGAATTTTTAACGTGGTTTCCTCTGACAGACTCAAAGCAAGGACCTGCTCAACAGATCGGAGCAACGGCTCCGTCCTCATAGCCCGGTTGCCAGGCTGCGTAGGAAGTGGGTTGCTTCCTCGTTGGTTTTTTATTTTTAGGGAAAAGTTATTCTCAGATTTCCTTTTTCTTCTTTATTTTGCATAGACTATCAGTTGGGTAGCAACAGGCCACTTGTGGAAAGTGAATTGCTTGACCTTTTATGGACACGAGCTCAATAACCTTCTGAAATACAAGTCTAACTGTTCCTTCCTCGGTTGAGGGCTGGTGTGGGCGAATGTGGGGGTTGTGTCCTCACATGGTTCAATTCATACTTGGGGGCAAAACAAAGCCTGCGAGGCTTGGCTTTCGGACCCTGGGAACCTGAGGTCATGTGTGTGCTCTGCACGTTGTGAAGCCCCTTTTAGGTGCCTTGGTCCCTAGCCCCACGACTTCCTCACCACAGCTGTCTTCAACGTGGCATCTAGATCCTTAGAATGACTTCCACACACCTTAATTTTGCTTTTTACATTTATTTTTGCTTGTTACATTTTGTAGTGGTTATTTTTTTTTTAAGTATTTTGTTGTTACTGGTTTTTTGTTTCACGCAAAGGCAGGCACTTGCATCCTTGGAGCAGCTGAAGGTCCGTCTTCTGCTGCTGGAGAGGGAGGGTGCTGTTCTGTAATAGCCAAGGGAAGTAGGGCAGCCCTTGGGACAGTAACTAAAGAAGGCGGCGACTCTCTGAGGTGCTCGCTCTCTCTTGCAGGTGGGAGTGTGTGTTGAGTTGCCTTGCGCTTTGAGAACGTACTGCTTAGAACTGTGAGAGCCAACCACTATGTTGATGAGGCTTGAGAAGAGAAGATGTGGAGGAGTCGGTTTTCGTGCCTGGAAGGGGTGGGTGCCACGGGCAGACCCCCAATAGATGGGGTCCCCGTCCTGGTGCGATGGTAGCGTGAGCATAGGGCGCTTGGCACAGTGTGTGAGGTCCAGGAGAAAAGATCGCATCTAAAGAGTTCTGTTTTCATGGCTCGAAAACTGTGGTTGAATCGACTAAAAAATGTCCAATAGGAAGAGAACAAAGTCTGATTTGTAATACTAATGATAAATATCCTTTGACTAAAGCTTGGGAAAATGCTAACAGGCTTTGGGGACATGCACCTCTGAGTGTCACAGTGACTGATGGACAGAGGTCACGGAAGCAGCCCTTGAGCTCCTTCCCTTTGAAGCTGCTGTGGTGTCTGCCTGGTACCCTCTACAAGGAGGGCACAGACAGATGGATGTTTGAGAGTCGGAGCAGGAGTGGGGTGCATTATAGGTGGATTCATAAGTTTGTCAAAGATGAAAACTGCCTACTTAGCCCAAGTTTGCATCTTCTGAGTGTACTCTCCAGGAAATGTGTGAGAGAGCCAGGCTCCCGAGCCCCTGACTACACCCTTGCTCTTTCTGTCTACCTTGGGAAGAGTTGCCAAGCTGCAGATGCCCAGGGCTGTGCACCTGTTCCCTCCCCGGGCACCGCCTTTTCCTGTACTTGCATTCCCTGCCTCCTATGTTTATCTCTTCCTCTTTCTCTTGTGACCTACCTACATTACCAGAATGCGGAGTGAGCAAGGCAGTCATTATATAAAGAACTGTAACTAATGCATGGAGATCACACGAGTTCACCACAGGAGCAGCCCAGTTTCTGGTGCCTGTGGCTCTTCAGTTCTTCAAGATTTCCTTGTTAATTTAGGAAGCCCAGAGAGGCAGGGGACCTGATGTTGTTTGCTCTAATTGTGGCCACAAATACCCGGACAGGTCACACTGACATGGGGACATAATTAATGTCTATCCAGAAGCGTGTTCTGTGTTTTGGAAAATTAAACCCAGGTAAATATCTCGTCACTTATGGTGAGTGACTGGCTACGTTGTTTTCATGACCCTTCTGTTTTGTGGCACACTTAGGGTGCCACATTGATTGGGACCATTGATAACTTTAAAAGAGGGAAAAAAAAACCACCTAAGTAAATATAGATGTGAGACCCAGGTCACTTTCTTCCCTCCCTCCAGATTTTTAGTTATCATTTATTTTTTAATTTGTTTGTGCACTTAGGAATGTGATGCTTGATGCCTTGGGGTGACCTGAGGTCAGCAGACAACTTGGGGAGCCGGCTCTCTCCTTCCACAGTCTCTGCCGCTGCCTGTGCCTCTAGCCAATTCTCTTCTCTCCTTACCATAGGGGTGTTGGGATTCGGAGTGCATACACACCACCTCTGACATCCGGCTTTTGCTGTAGGTTGCCCAGGAAGGGTTGAGTTCTGGTTGCCTGGCTGTTTTAGTCACTTCTCTTGCTCTGATGGAACAGCCAATGAAAGCCTGCCACGGAGGGGAGGTTACACCTGCTGTGTGGAGGCGGAGTCTGCCAGAGGAGAAGGTTCAGGTAGCAGGTGAGGTAGCTGGCCACAGGGTGTCAGAAAGCAGACAGAGGAGCAAGCACTTGCTTTCAGCTTGCTTTCTCTTTTTTTATTCCATCCGGGACTCCAGCTCACAGGATCATGCCACCCACGTTCATGTTGGTCTCCCTGCTTGGTTAAACCTCCCTAGAAATAAAAGCTCTTGCATCCAGACCCAGGTGTGAGTCTCCTAGGTGATCTTAAGTCCAGTCAGGTTGACGGTGACGACTGACTGGCATGCTTTGGGGCTGTGCTGTAGACTAGCAACTTTGGTTTCCTGAGTCCTTTGTCTTAAGTGACCTCACAGCCCTGAGTCCCTAGCTTTTCGGTGTAGGTGGAGCCCGGCCACTCATGTGGGTCAGAGTTGCCCAGTTTCTTTCTTGTACCGTATCCTATTTGACTGTTTCCTAATAGAATTCTCTAAAAAGCACTCTGGTTTGCACCCTGTGGCTTTTTGGCCTCAAAGTCTTCACTGCCACTGTCCAGGAAGTCTAGTTTCCATTTATTAACTTAAAATCAAGTCCTCTTTTGTGTGGGGGAAATGCTCAGCCTTATTGCAATTCCTTTCCAGTTTGTTTACAGTTTTGTCGTTTTATTCTGGTTTTGCCAAATCATGCGTGCATTTCTGTTCTTCCAGGAAACCCGCCTCCTTCCCTCCCATAGTCTCATGGCTAACAGCCTTCTCCCCCGTGACGCACAATCTCTGCCTTTTCTTTCCCCTAGCTTTTTCCAGGATGGACTCAAAGCCGTAGAAAGCCTCAAGCCTTCCATTGAAACGCTCTCCACGGATCTCCACACAGTGAGTAGCCTCCCTCTGTTTGGTGGTGTCACCGTTCAGGGCCCATTTCTGTAACCTTGTGCATGCCTACTGTGCTGTCCGGCAGGGACTGGCTCTGGTGTGCCAAGGGGCGGTGTGAACAGGCCATCCCCACATGTGCTCGTGTGTGGAAATACCATGATCTGCAACGCCTAAGGGTGCCTTAGTCTTACTCTTCTCTGCTTCGTTTGCTCTTCAAAGATCAAACAGGCCCAGGACGAGGAACGGCGGCAGCTGATACAGCTTCGGGATATTTTGAAATCAGCATTGCAGGTTGAGCAGAAAGAGGTGAGGGGATTTAAGACTGGAGGATCACTGTTAAATCCCACCCCCCCACACACACATGCCTTAGAAGCTTTGGGCTGAGGACTATGACATCCGTGTTCACCGGGGGCTCACAGACTCCTCTGGGACCATGGCTATTAGCCTAAAATGTCTTTTGCTTTTTAAATCTTAGTTTTATAAGGCCGTCTATTTTAGGATACTTCCTTCTAGGAACAGCAACCACTATGGGCCTGAGTGGCCAGGTGTGATGCTTTTCCTGCTCTGCCAGTTCCTCGTGGTTCTGTCTGTCACATTTATACCCTAAGTCTGTCCCCAGACTTTGTGGCTTCCATGTTCTGTTGTGTGTTCCCATTGTGAACCTGTCCCCTGTGTGAACTTTACCAGTGTGAACTCACCCCAGTGTGAACTCTGCCCAGTGTGAACTCTGCCCAGTGTGAACTCTCCCCATTGTGAACTTTCTTCTGTGTGAACTTTCCCCAGTGTGAACTCCACCACTGTGAACTCTGCCCAGTGTGAACTTTCCCCTGTGTGAACTCTCCCCAGTGTAAACTACCCTCAGTGTGATCTCCCCCATTGTGAACCCCAGTGTGAACTTTTCCCTGTATGAACTCTCCCCAGTGTGAACTTTCCCCTGTGTGAATTCCTCTACTGTGAACTTTCCCTAGTGTAAACTTCCCCAGTGTGAACTCTCCCCAGTGTGAACTTTCCCGTGTGAACCCTGCCACTGTGAACTTTCCCCGTGTGTAAACTCTCCCTACTGTTAACTTTCCCCTGTGTGAACTCTGCCTCTGTGAACTTTCCTCATGTGTGAACTCTCTTCACTGTGAACTCTCCCCTGTGTGAATTCTCACCCCAGTGTGAACTTTCCCTGGTCTGTGGAGTAGAGACAGAACAAGTTCCCTTAAAGCCCTAGTCTGTTCTATTTTTGAGGAGTTAGGTTGGGTGTAGTGGTATGATATTATCCCAGCATGGGGGAGGCTGAGGCAAGAGAATCCCAGCATGAGGGAGGCTGAGGCAAGAGGACCTCCGTGAGTGTGAGGCCACCTGGTGCTGCATAGTAAATTCTAGGATAGACTAAACTGTATAATGATGCCTTGTGTGAACATCAAATGAAAGACGAGACGAGAGATGGTCAGATGGCTCAGAGGGTGAAAGTTCTGAGTTCCAGTAGCGGATACAACAGTGGGAAGGGAACCAGCTGAAAACAGTTGTCCCGCAACTTGCATGCCCATCTCACAGGTACATATCACACACACACTAATAACAACAGCAATGCTTTTTTTAACTATAAGAGTTAGGGCTGGAGGGACGGCTCAGAGGTTAAGAGCACTGACTGCTCTTCCAGAGGTCCTGAGTTCAATTCCCAGCACCCACATGGTGGCTCACAACCATCTGTAATGGGGTCTGGTGCCCTCTTCTGGCCTGCAGGTGTACATGCAGAGCTCTCAGACATAAGATATAAATAACTTAAAAAAAAAAGTAAGAGTTATCTTTGCGTGTGGCTCCACTCCAGTGGCAAGCCATCCGTGGTTCTTGTTTGTTTCCTTGGTATGGTGGTGTCTTTGTGTCCCCAGACATCACCAGGTGATGATGATGCAGCTTTTATAATGAGTAGCTTTGTCTCTAGTTCTGAACTCCCAGGCTCAAGTGATCCTCCTGCCTCAACCTCTGAGTAGTGGAATATAATGGGAGTTTAACATAAGTCCTCTTCCTTTTCGATAAATTTAAATAACTGCTTATCAAAGCATAGTTCTTAGTCTGTAACTGAATCTTGTTGTTTTTCTCCCAAATGCATTTACCTTTTGTGACCGAAGTCTAGGAGAGTAAGTACCCAGTATTTTCACAGATGGCAGTTTCGCATGCTTCGTTCGTAAACGATTCTTCACGTAGCTTGACTAGTTCGCTTCAGCTTTCGGTGTCTCCTCTCTCTCTACAGTCGATGGTTTTCCTTAAAAAGATTGTAGGATTTGGACACATAAGACGAATGAGATGGAAAACCCCAAGTTTAGTTTACACTCCTGCTGTCATTCTGCAAGGCCTTCTGGTCCCTGCTGAGCCCTTTCTCGGCAGGGCTACCCCCGAGTGCCTTCTCCATGATGCTGCTTTGCTAGAGATTACTACAGCATGGTGACCTTTTCCTGGTCCAGAAAGCGCAAGCCCGTGAGGTGGCTGCTCCCCATAGCGTTGGTGGGGAGATGTTTTTGTCTGAGGAGCTCTAACCGAGGCAGAAACGATCCAGTTGGAAATGAGGAGACGTGGCTGGCTTGTCAGCCGTTGGGGTACAGAGACTATGATGGTTTTGACTGTGCAAAATTTGAGGTCTGAGGAAACCGGCTTCATCAGAGAGCTGTTACCAATGGTTCTGCAGAGGTATGAAGCTTGGTGACACAGACAAGAAGTCTGGTGGCTTTTCCCTGTGGTCTGGACTAGCCAGCTCATTTGCCCCAGTGGCACAGGACTGTGTCAGCTGAACCTCCTTCCTTTCCCCTGGCTTTGTGCCTGCTGACTGCTCTCAGGCCGAATTCTCCTCCACACCCCTGGTTGTGAGGATGTTTCCTGCATCGATTGCTTTTCGGTGCTGATGCTTAGACTGTGGGACAGTCTGCCGACACAGTAGCACCTCGTTAGCAAATGCCAAGACGTTGGATCATACGTCTTTTCCCGTAGTGTCTGGGCATGGCTGCTTATCTCTGCTCCCTTCAGTTACTTTCTTCCCTGTGACTCAGAGACTCAGCCGAGATGTTGGGTGGATTTTAGCAGCACTGTGTCAGTTCTAACTCTGCCTGTGCACTAGAGATTGGCGTGGACGTTCAACCACGGGTCCACAGACCGTGCCTTTTAGGTTGGTTGGAGTGGAGGCTTCCTGCTCCCTCTGCGAATCTCAGCCTAAGTCAGCACCAAATGCGACTGTCAGTTGGTGGCTGCCAGCTGCTCTTCTTTACCACCCTGTGGTTGTCCTTCAGTTTGGAGTCCCGTCTTTTCTCCCAGTGTTCCTCATACCTCCCTGGTTAGGCTGTTTCTCTCTAGAGAGGGTACCTCTGTTAGATCGTTTCCATCGGGAAGAACCTCACATAGAGAAAATGTGAAAACTGGGTATCTGTGCCTCATGCTTGATTTCTGGGGAGGAATCCTTCTTCCAGGGGGTTCTGGTATCACTTGTACCTGTAATCCCAGCTTCTTGGGAGACAGAAACTGGGGATCTCTGTGAGTTCAAGACCAGCTTGATCCATAGAGTGAGTGACAGGCTAGCCAGGGCTACACAGTGAGATCCTATCTCAAAAAAAAAAAAAAAA